GSSRAATTCACGACCGAACAGTACTATGGTTGTCAAATATTGAGCGATTCATGTTATTATTCAGTATACGCGCTGATTTTTATAACAATTGAAACTGTTTTGATGATTATGTGTTTTATGTTTTATTTTTTTTATGTTTATTTATGTGTTTATGTTTTTTATTTGTCATGGCGCTTTTTTACAAGTATTCTTACAGTGAAGTCCATTAAAGATCGTCCAATCATAGTTAGTTACTATGGTCCAACAGATTCAGATGTGGCTCGTTCGCCATTTTCATGTCAGACACATTCCGCAGCTACACGAGCGATTTTTCGCTTGCGCAGGCGACGAAATTTTCTCAAAGTCACCAGAGCACGATGTGGCGACACAAGCGACAAGTACTGGCAACAAATCCTGGCAAAGCTGCGCCATCTTGAAAAAGACCAGACCCTCGATTTCGTTCTCGCACCTTATTGGTTAAATGTACTTTAGCCGCGTCGCGAGTCATTGAAAAGTGGCTACTAGTGACGACGTCTACAAAGTTGTTGCGAAAAGTTCAACTCATTTAATTTCTCGCGACTTTTTTCTGCGATTTTTTCCGATGTTGGGTCGCCTGCGCAAAGCCGGCTACACGTGCGATTCCATTGCGTGCTGCTGATTTTGAGAAAATCGCGGCGCCTGCGCAAGCGAAAAATCGCTCGTGTAGCCGCGGCTTAACTTTTAAACTGCACCATGTTCCGCAAAATTCTATGTCATGCATTAGGAATATACGATTTCGTTTTAAAAATTTCACTTTCTAACCAGTACTTGAGAGACTAAGATGGWCTACATAATGAACACAACATCGATTGCCAAGGTCTTGTCCACGCGCAGAYGCAATTGTTTGYAAGCGCAAAGACTTTTTCACGTGCCAATACGTTTCCATATCCAGCTACGCATGGGCAAGCCCTCAACCATCCTGAATCAGTCTGAAATACTACTTAAACACTGACGAAATGTTTCTTTATTTTTATATATTCACCATTTATAATAAAACATTCAGAGCAGTTATTCAGGCATATAAAGTACTATCTAATATTTTTGTACAAAGAAACCTCATCATCCACCACCCACCACAAAACTGAGAAGCAAACAAACAAAACAAACCTGACTGAAAAAAAAACACACACACAAACAAACAAAAGCAAAGCCCAAAAAATATCCAGCAGTCAAAATAGATCTAAAAGATACAATGGAATAGTCAATGTAAGGCGACCCCATTTAGTCCAGCAAGACATGATGGTAGTAGTAGTCCCCTCACTTTTTTATGTCCGCTTCAAGAGTCCTCTTAAGTACTTTGTGCTTTTTCTAAGCAAAAGTATTTGTACTGTTTCTAAAAAGAAAATATAAAAACGGTTCTTGGGGAGATATTTAAGAACTCATGCTTGGCTGCACTAAATGTTGTCGCTGTACAGACTACTTGCCTTGTACTTGCATTGTTTTCGTGTTATACATAGAGCGGATTTCGTATGAGTGGGAAACGGACGGTACTGTACTGTGACCGTAATCGTACTGTAACCAAATTCTAGTGCCCCATWGGTTCACCAAAATTGTGAAGGCCAGGTCCGGTAACTGTACGGTAACCGTGCGGTAACGGTGTCCCACTCATATGAAATCCGCTCTATTTCGCGGGTTTTTTACCTCATCCCACAACGTGCAGAATTCTACCACATACATWCTTAGTTTTCCAAATACAGAGCGACGTCCAGTCCTTGCGGCTCGTTCAGAGTTATACTTTTGTCTTAATCTACCTTGAAAATACATTTGTAAAATACAACTAGAAAATGACTAACTTCTATGATGATTCTGATAAAAGTTTTTCTAAATCTTCTACGGACGTGACAGGTTGTTTACAAGTGTAATCCTCACAGATGTACACAGTCGCTTTGTTGTCCAATCGTTCCAGGTTCTTTAGAACTGCGAGTTTACTCGATAAAAATCCTTCCTTTCCGTCATGAAGAATTACTATTTTGTTGGGAATGTAGTGTGAATTGATGCAGTTGAGTAGCTGTTTGGTGTCGTCGGCTTCTTGGTCGCCAGCAATGACAATCTGAAGATAGAAAATATATATTATAACATGTTTCGATACCAGTGTCTCCCAATTACAKTCGACACAGGAATCCCACTCACCTGTTTGATACCACTATTGTACATAATGAGGTTTCCTACCAAGTCAGGTAGCGAGATAGGAATTTGTGCTAGTCTTGATTCATAAGCAGTGAATATACGCTCAGCTCGTTCGCGGTACTCTTTACAATCGATTAGGTTTGAAAGGCGCAGTAGATTTCCCGTCGAAATTGAGCTCGGGCTCGGCTCGGCGCCATCTTGCTCTGAATGTAACAAAAAAAGATTTRAATTTGAGACCTCAACTAAGTCACACAGCCAAAMAATAACGAACAACATTATCTCTGWCCAATATTTACCATCTTTCATTCTTATAAGAATACTCGTGTCGCCCTCTGAAACAGCAAAGTAGCCGCCATTTTTACCGTCCCAGAAAAGTTCGTCCGCTTTGTTCTGAAGGTCCACAGCCCACTCAAGCCACTGCTGGTCCATTGTCGCATCGTACAGATCTAACAGAGCTCGAACAAGATAGACATAGTCGCAAGAAAAACCACTTATTGG